AAAAAAAAAAAAAGCAAACATCTTTTAGGACTGCAACATATTATTTCTTGGTAGGTTGAGCATTTTCAGAATGACCAAGAAAAAAAGGTTGTTAGTAAGACAGATTTATAGTTAAGCTATGTTTGTTAAATTAACTGATAGCTTATAAGTGATTTTCGATCTTATATTTTATAGATTATGCATTGTAACTGAAAGTATAGTTTATATGATAACAGTGTTTGATAAAAATAGCTGACATGCTAGCTGAAATAAAAATTTAAAAGAATTTTTATGAAAAACTTACCAAAATAAGTTCATGAGACAAGTTCGAGCTTTTTAAAAAAGCTCGTCCTACCAAAAGACGACCATGTTTGGTAAACTTAGCTGATAAGTTAACTTATAACTGATAAGCTAGCTTTTAGTTTTTAAGTGATTTTCGAGTACATATATAGTTGAAAGTTTATGTATAGTTGAAAACTAGCTTATATGATAAAATTGATTGGTAAAATCAGCTGATAAGGTAGATGAAATAAAAAAAATTCAGTTGGTTTATTCGAAATGCTATACGAGGAAGCTTATGAGATAAGCTCAAAATTTTCACGTCCTACGAAACTAGGTTTATTTAAATATAAAAAACTTATAAGTTAATCAAATAAGGTATAAGCTAGCTTATATGCTTACCCAACACAATCGAATTTTATCTTAATACAAGAAGCTCATAAGTTAACTACATAAACTATATAAGCTAACTTATTTGGTTATCGAACATAGCCTTAGTCGGACAATATCATATTTTTTAATAAAATTATATATTTATATTACTTTTGTACTTTTATTTATGTTTTTAAACATCTTTGCCATTGAGTATTGGCCTAATACAAATTAGAAAATATGATATATGTATCTAGCTATTTAGTTGTTAAAAAATAAAAGTAATGCAACCAAAACAAATAGCATTTTCACATAATTATTGACTATTGTTGGAATATTACTTGTGAGTTGTCACACATTGATTATACAAGATAAATTATCCTAGTTTATAAGCATAGTGAGCTACACCTCTTATCACCAAATGCTTTTGAGATGAAACCTCTCTAAGGTCCACCTAAGCTCACTCTCCTATGGTGTGCTTCACCAGTTGGGACCGCACCATCTTTCTCCGGTTCTAATATGGTATCAGAGCGGGCCTGTCATAGGACCTGCAATGACTCTCTTTACTCGGGCTGCTCTAGGCTTGAACTCTATATCTCTATTCAGCCTGTTCTGGCTTAGGCTACGAAGGACTCATAAGTGAGAAGCGTATTGGAATATCACTTGTGAGTTGTCCTACATTGATTCTAAGGGTAAATGAGTCTAGTTTATAAGCCTAACGAATTACTCCTCTCATCACCAATTAGTTTTGAGATGGAGCATCACTAAGATGCATCTAGGGTCAACTTCTTATGGTGTGCTTCACCTGGTGGGACCGCATCCTCTCCTCGGTTCTAATAACCATTCACCCCTCTTTTGTACTGTATTTTCAAAAAAAGGAAAAATATCTTTTGAGGCCCTTTGTGCTTATTCCTTGTAAATCATTGGTTGCAGACCAAAAGCTAAAGCTATAATACACGTGAATATTGAAATTGGGAAAACAAAAGTTTCATTTAGGCAAGTATTATAACATTTAACTTTCATCTATGTCATAAGGAGAGACTTATTATAAGCTTAATATGAGCTGTGGGCCAAATAAAATAATCTAATCACGAAATACAACAAAAGGTCATTTAATCAAAGAGAAGAAAAAGAATGGGAAAATAAGGAACAAGTTGCCAAAAATAATAATAAAAACTCATTTCTTCGTTGACGTGGAATTATTCGACGACTGTTCCAGTTTTTTGACTCATTAAAAGTGGTATTAATCAACCCAAGAGCGTTTGGATGAAATGGCTTAGATCTCTTTCAGCTTAACCAGTAGTCTCGTGTTCGAGCCCTGAGAATGCAGCAGTGTACCCGAATCGATTCCGGATTAGTCGGTTCCCCTGTGAATCTGGAAACCGGAAGGTCCTTGTACCCAAAAAAAAAAAAGTGGTACTAATCATATTATTGAGTAGGCTTAAAATTTAGGCAAATGTTACGGTCTCATATTATCGAGGTTCGTAGTTGTTCGATCAACTATCTTCGACAATTACATGATGACCGAACGGCTATAAATTTCGACAGAATGGTTCCATAACAGAATCGTAGCGTCTCCCTAACATTTATAAATTTAAATCAAAGGATTATAAGCATCACGACTGTTAAATCTTTTAAATAAGAATCCATGTATAATACTACCTCCTTTTTAAAATAAGTGTCGTTTTGACTTTTTTGATTCATCAATTTTATTATGTATCTAGACATAAATATGTCTAGATACATAGTAAAATGGATAAATAAAAAAAGTCAAAACGACACTTATTTTGAAGGAGAGAGTAGTAATTAATATCAAATATTTAAATAGGCTTAAAGCAAGTGGAATTAAAGCAAGTGGAATTCATGTTAATTAAATTGAAACAACTTTTGGTCTTTGTTTTTTTTGCCCCTTTTAATCTTTATCTTTATGCTCTTACCTTTGAACACTTAATTTTGTATGTACTCAACCTACCTGTTTACAGTCAACTTTTTAATTTTAAAAATAAAGAAGATGATGACGTGGATAATGGTGTAGACGAAAAGTTGAGCATCAACTTTTATATACTCATCCCCACAATTGGGCAATGGCTTGTCCGCTCTACTGGCGGCTCTCGTTCTAATAAATCGAGTTAAGAATTTTTGGATATAAGAATTTTCGATATCTTGAAAAAAATTGGTATGGTTAGTTGTTTGTAGGTATACGTATATTAAAATAATATTTGAAATGAAACAATTAAAATTGATTTGATGTAAAAAATAAGAGAGAAATGATTTGAAGCGATGATTAGTTAAAATTATGTAAGATGATGAATAGTGAATTAGTTGATGTGATGTGTAAAAATGATCGATTGATATTATTTAATTATATTGATAATATTGATGATAGTGTGGTTGAGTTAAAATTGAGTTTTAATTATAATGGTGTAGACAAAAAGTTGAGCATCAACTTTTTATATACTCATCCTCAATGTCTTTTTTTTTTT